CCCGCCCCGCCCCGCCCCGCTTGGCACCGTCCCCCCAGCCAGCCCCTGCGCTGAGTGGAGAAAGCTTCTGACGGATGTTCGAAAGAACCAATCAAAGTGTGTCATCCCGAGGCCAGTGAGCCAATAGAGAGGAAGGGAAGCGGGCCGCTAGCCGGAAGTGGGGTGCGGGCGGTTGCGCTGAGGGGAGCTCGGCGGGCAGGTGAGGAGAGGAGAGGAGAGGCGGTTGCCGCGGCCCCGGGCTCCCGACGGGGTTGTCTCCTCCGCCGGGTACGTGGTCAGTCGCTGTTGGGGTCTTGCCGTAGCCCGTCCCTGGCTTTTCTCTCTTCAGCAGTGGCCTGGCGAACGCTGCGACGGGGTCTGGGCCTAACCAGGGCCGGGCTGCGGCTGTGGAGCCGGGGCGCCAGGCCGCGTCCTTCCTTCCCTGAGGGTAGTGCTTGCCCGCCGCCGTGCTGCGCGGTTCCCCCTCTGGCGGGCCGTGGTGGTAGCGGGCCGGGCCTCGGCTAGAGAAGGGTTCTAACCTCTGTTTACAGGCTGGGCTTTCATGGTTCGATGAAAAAATGCTTAACGTGCTTCGAGTGAAGTTCATCCTCCTAAAAGTATACTGTAGTGAAAAACTAAGATGCGTTTATTCGCACGTTTCCTGTGTTCTATGCATTGAGATGGCTTCTTCTGGCTCATTTTCTCACTGCCAGCTCTTTTATATTGCCTTTTTTTTCTATTTATATGATAAGGTTGTCGCACAAATTGCTTAATGTATATTTCTTGGGACATTCCGTAGGTATTTTCAACTGGCAAAAATGGGTGAACCTCAGCAAGTGAGTGCCCTTCCTCCACCTCCAATGCAATATATAAAAGAATATACTGATGAAAATATCCGCAAAGGCCTGGCTCCAAAGCCACCTCCACCAGTGAAGGACAGTTATATGATGTTTGGTAATCAGTTTCAATGTGATGATCTGATTATTCGACCCTTGGAGAGCCAAGGTATTGAACGGTTACACCCTATGCAGTTTGATCACAAGAAGGAATTAAGAAAACTTAATATGTCTATCCTGGTCAACTTTTTGGACCTCTTGGATATCTTGATAAGGAGTCCGGGGAGTATTAAACGAGAGGAGAAACTGGAAGACTTGAAACTGCTTTTTGTTCATGTCCATCATCTCATAAATGAGTATCGCCCTCACCAGGCTCGGGAGACGCTGAGAGTCATGATGGAGGTACAGAAACGTCAGCGTTTGGAAACAGCAGAGCGATTTCAGAAGCACTTGGAGCGAGTTGTAGAGATGATTCAGAACTGCCTGGCTTCCTTGCCTGATGATTTGCCTCATTCAGAGGGAGGACTGAGAGTGAAAGTGGAACCAATGGATCCTGATGATGGCAGCAACTGTATTGGACAGAGCGAAAAGCAGAGAGAGCGTTCGGGTGGCACCAGAGACCAGGTTTTAGACAAAGATGCAGCTATGTGTAGCATTATTGATGAAATGACATGAAGAAAACAGTATTATTTTTTTTGTTAGCTCCCTATAACAAGAGGCAGAATGGATTCTGAGAGTATATGTTGTATTTAGTTTTACTATTTTACAAGCAGACAAAGCATTTTTGTACACCTGTTAAGAGGTTGTGAGTGACTAGGCAGCTGGAAATGTTTAATATTTTGTGAGCTGTGTGTTTACTGGTAGAAACAATGTATGTTAAATGTATCATGTGAGGTGGTAGCCACAGATTAAAGTTAACTTTTTCTGTTGTACATTTGTCATTGTCTGTGTTTTTGTATATGCTGCTTTTTAAAGTGTTTTATAGTGTGTAAGCAAGTAAAGGTTCTGACTGAGAGAAATTGCAATTGACAGTTCCTCTATTTCAAATAAGTGCTAGTTTACAATTTCAGTGGGTCCTTTCAGGAATGTGTAGTTCAATATTAAAAATAGTGTCAAGTCTGTAAAATCCATACCTTTCTAGTTTTGTAATATTATACCTGTACTGAAGAGAAACTAAGAATTCCTTTATTACAGATGTGGTTAGAGAGACACTGTAAGGGATCTCAACAACTAAATGAATTAAAATTACTTGGATTTTAATTTTCTTAGATGTTAAATCATAACCAGTGTTGAGCTTACAAAAAATGCCTCCTTTTTGGTTTTTTTTATACATAGATGCTTAGTCTAACTTATTTCCTGTGGAGTTAATATACAAGCATGAAGTGAATCGTTCTGCAATGCAGATGCTTTGTATTTGCCTTTTAGGTGGGCTCTGCCCAGCTGAGCATTTTTCTCAGGAAGGAGACTCTGATTGGATAATTAGCCTTTATACTAATTGAGAACTTCTAAGTTTGAAAGAACCTCAAGCATTCCGTCAAGTGGAAGCCGTATCAACCGTGTTTAAAGAACATTTGCATTGGATCAACTCCCCATAGCAAGAGGAAGAAAGTGATTTGATAGTGAAGAAGTGGCTTCTTTACCCTGCCCTTCCTGTCACGGAAATCCCACTTCCGTCTTTTTGCCATGTAACACTGAAATATTTGTTTTCCAAAGTATGTTCAGCAGCTAAAAACCAGGGGAAGTTTTAAGAGGGAGGGAATTTGCACAAACTCTATTTTTAACTAATTTAACAAGCAAAAATCTCTGTTTGATTTCATAATTCTGTTTTCAGAAATGTTACTTAAATGGGCAGGCAAAAGCACTCAGCTCTTGGATGGTGGGGCTTGAGCTCAGTGCAGATAAAGATGAACTGAAGCGAGTTTATGACTCATTGGAGAACATCATCTGCTATTTTAAGTGCATGTGGCATCATAAATAACTTTAAGTAAGTAGAAACATGGTGGGTGATTTAGATGGGTTACCAAATTGGTAACTTGTAGGTAACAAAACCTACATTCTACATTCAAAACCTAATTCTGCAAGTGTGCAGAATTAATTCGGTATCTACTTTGCAAATGCTGTTTCATGTGGAAGGTAGGAGGAAGCATTTTGTGCCTCTTGGATAAGAGTTCTGCACTGCGGAACTACAGTTTGTCACGAATGTTTTAACTTTGCCATCCAAGAAGAACTGTCGTAGATGCTCAATGGTTTTCTGTAGATTTTTGGTCTAATTTTTATGCTTTTAATAAATTCATAGGCCTGGGTACTGTAGTTTCAAAATACTGCATGAGCTGGTTCCTAGTAGCAACTAACAATTGCAATGAACTTCTGTGAAGCCATTAAGGCAAATGAGGATAATGTAATTTAAAAAATACTGAAGGCTGCTTTCACTTTCCAAAAAGTTTCACAAATAATTTGTTTATTCTAGATTAATTTTTTCTATGTTTAAGGCAAACTCTTAGAAAGCTGTGGGAGGCTTCCTGGGCTTTTTTTGCAGCCAAAACAATGACTTTTTCCTCTTTGTCTGGTCAAAGCAATGATAGTGTTCCCTTTTTCTTTATGAGTTTGCTTTTGGGAGAACAAGGGGCTGTAGCTGCAGCGAAGGCAGTGCCTGTTCGTGTAGAGAAACGGTGGTTGTGCATCTCGTAGGATGGTGTGACTCACTGACTAGCAAATTTAATTATAAATGTCTTCTCTACTGTGTTAATTATCCTGCTCCTGATGATGAGATCTTTCCTTGCCTCAGCAAATCTTGGTTTTATTTTTGGATGTAATAACTTTTAAGTATTCTACCCCTAAAACATTAATGTATACAATATGCGTTGGATTATATGTGCCTTAGGAAACCTGATGAGATAAAGCTAACATTGTGTTAAGCAGCATTTTGTTGGATGCTTTCTTAATTTGGAAAAAAAAAAAAAGGAAGGAAAAGAAAAAAAGCCCAGCCCTTCTATTACACTCCCTGAACAAGCACAGGGGTAACGGTGGCACAGTTATTTGAAAAGTTGCAGAAGTTTCTTGATTCAGAGAGGCCAAGTGTGTCAGCAGTGGACAAAAGGTGAAAGTTCATAGCTTTGATCATCTAGAGGGAAAAGAAGAAAAGATATTTAATGATACGGCTTTTAAATAGTGCAATGAAAAGATGTTTCCAACAATGCTTGAAACTTCCTTCAATATTTAATGGTTTGGTTTGGTTTTATTTTCACAAGGTATGATGTGACTATGCTCTGAGTCAAGAGAAAACGTGCAGCTACTGTAAGAGCTGCATGAACAAGATAACATTGGCACCTTTTCTGCAGAAATAGTGCTCATTTCCCGCACAAACAAAAACCAGAAACTTGGAAAGACAGGCACGTAGAAACTCAGAAATGATGTCGAGGCATTTCGTATGGTCTGTGTTTGAGGTGAAATCCAAAGCCAGTGGGTTAACTGTTGCCCTGTAGCTCTCACGTTCTCTTACTGCGTGACCAGAGCGGCTCTCCTGGTTCACTGGAACTACTCTGGACTGTCATGAACCAACCAGCCTGGGTGAAGTGCAGTGCAGCCTCAGGCAGAGCTCTGGGATAAGGGCCCTTATTTTCTCATCATACTTACTTATTTCAGAGCTCAGATGTGGCCCGTGCGGAGGAGGAATCCATGTGGACCCCCTTACACTGCGTGTTGTGGTGGGTAACTGGCAAAAGGGGACGTGTCCTGGTCTGCAGGTGGATGGTTGAGGAACCACCAGGAGGAGTTCCCCAGCTGATGCCATGCGCTATCGCGGCAGGGCTGTGGTGAATGTGGTCACCCGCCTTCTGCCAGAGCTGGGTTGCTCTGCCTTTTCCGTTTGTGCAGAGCAGTTTTGGGATCCTGACGTTAATGGTGAGAATTGTTCCTGTAGCTGCTATCTGTGCTTTTTCTGTTTCCCCAGAAACCAGAGGAGCGAAGAGGAAGCATTTTTGTAAGAGTCCTGCTTCCAGCCTGTGTACAAAAATCCCCCTTTTTCCCCTCTCCTCTCAGCTCTTTCCCACAGGTATGTTCTAGTGTTTTGTCTCTTGGCTACTTCAATCCTTTGTTTTTCCTCCTTTTCGCTTAAAGGAAGCATCCTGTTGGTGTCTCTGATCTCATTCATGTAAGGTAGTCACTGCCAGGCAGCTCTGCTGATTCCAGCCTAATGTGTGGTTTTGGAAGCATTTCTGCTGTTTACTGATAAAAATTAACTCCTTACAACTTAATTTTGTCTGTGTAAAACAGTGTAACATAGATTGGTTACTTCAGCAAAGAACACTTGTTGGCCCTAGATCAAATGCACTCGCTCACAGCTGTGGTTCTAGTCCAAACAATATAAAAAGCCAAGGTGTCCCCTGGAAGAGTTGGGTGACCTGGGGACAGGGAGAGTGGCCGGGGAACATCATTTCTCAAAAGCCGTGTTTCATCAACATGTTTTTTCAAAGCGCGTCTCGAGCCTTGGACAATGTGGTTTCCACACTACTTTTAAAGCGAGCTCTGTATTCTGTGTGTGTTACTTCATATTGCAAAAGCCTGGCCGCACACAGAATTTTTAAGAGTTGGTTGATGAAAGGCTGCAGATCCACGAGGCTACAACTGTCTAACAGTAGGGCACGTTTCCAATACTACCAAATTATAACCTACAAAGAAAATAGCATTTGCCTGAAGACACTCTGAACTGTTTTTGAGTATTAGAACTAGAAACTTATGGGTAAATACTTGAGTAATTCTTCCTAGGAATCTGTTACTTTGCAAAGTCCTATCCATTTACCCCGATCTGTTACGTATCCTATCTAACCTCTTATCCAAATTTTCTCTGCTCTGGCAGAAAAAAAAAAGGTGTGGGAAGCAGTACGGGGCAGTGGATGACGGAGAGTCGTATCAGCTCAATGGTGCTGATAACGGTTTCATCTACTGTAATCATAGAATCATAGAATGGTTTGGGTTGGAAGGGACCTCAAAGATCATCTAGTTCCAACCCCCTTGCCATGGGCAGGGACACCTCCCACTAGAGCAGGTTGCTCAAGGCCACATCCAGCCTGGCCTTGAACACTTCCAGGGATGGGGCAGCCACAGCTTCTCTGGGCAACCTGTTCCAGTGTCTCACCACCCTCAGAGTAAAAAATTTCTTCCTGATATCTAATCTGAATCTTTTTTCTTCCAATTTAAAACCGTTTCCCCTTGTCCTATCATTACCCTTCCTGGCAAAGAGTCCCTCCCCAGCTCTTCTATAGGCACCCTTCAGATATTGAAAGGCCGCTATAAGGTCTCCCCAGAGCCTTCTCTTCTCCAGACTGAACAATCCCAGCTCCCTCAGCCTGTCTTCATAGGAGAGGTGCTCCATCCCTCTGATCATCTTCGTGGCCCTCTGCTGCACCTGTTCCAGTTGGTCCATGTCCTTTCTGTATTGAGGACTCCAAAGCTGGACACAGTGCTCCAGGTGGGGTCTCATGAGTGCAGAGTAGAGGGGCAGAATCACCTCCCAAGACCTGCTGGCCACACTTTTCCTGATGCAGCCCAGGACACGGTTGGCTCTCTGGGCTGCCAGCGTGCACTGCTGGCTCATGTTGAGCTTCTTGTCCATAATCAAGCAGATCTGGAAAAAAACGAGGTGGATTTTGGAATTGCTGCTGAGTATTGTAGCCTGTCAGTCAAACTGCAGCCAGCGAGCGTTGGGCTGTGTGCACTGCCTGCAGGCAAACCACAGCAAAGGCAATCTGGATTCGACTAAAGGGCATTCAGCTGTCTGTGAAGATGACGTACTGCGAAGTAAAACCAGAAGTGCACGAAGACGATACGCTTTCTTGAACGTCGGTGCTCAAAGGGTGAAGAGGAGTGGTGTTGCTCCTCTTCAGCTACGATGTCGTCGTATTTCTGCATGAATTGGATTCTCCTGGTCTTGTCTACAGGTAACAAAGCGGGCCTAAAGGAATACGTGGATGGGGGTAATGTGCATCAGTGTTTCTCAGGGTTGGAAAGAGAGATTTTATGTTGCAACAGGAAGAATTGCCACATGAAACTGCAGTTTTGTGTTATGAATAGAACTTACCACAGTGAGTCGATAGTTTTCTCGTGGCATTATCTCCTTTTTAAAACAAAATCACGTTGAGGGTATGATGGTTTTAAAGCTGCTGTTTCATGGCCTGTCTGCTGGTCTTATTAGTGAATGATCTTTTGCAGTTTTTAGATAATAATGATCTGAGATGAGCAGAGAACTTTATTTTAGAAAAGATGTAAAACAAGGGTATTTCATTTCAACAGCCTTTATGCAGGTAAATGCTTAGGAAGACAGGGAAAAAGTCATCTGTGGCTTCTGGTGTTTTTTAGCCAACGTGAAACTTTACTGAGACAAATTTATACCTTCACCTTTTTTATTCTGAGAAAGCAGTCCTCCTAGGAAAACATTGTTAAAGACAATGGCACGGAAAACAACAGGTTGCAGAGTGGTACTAGTATGGGCAGATAGACATTAGAAATTTAGTGGTAGAATATGTTCAGTAGAAAGAAAAAGGATATTATAGATATTATTTCTTCTAGTTCTTTCTAAAGCCTTTTATGATGACATTCATTTAGAGCTTTCTTTTTTATATTAAATACAGTATTTTCAGAGATTAGTTTCTAGTATGCTGTTGTGGTGAAGTGTCTGAATGCAGACTTATTTTTAACTGTAATAGCTTAAGTTAGGAAAATAGCTGAACTGGGGAAAACAGCTTTTTCACAAGGGACAATGGAAATCAAACCGTACAGTGCACGGGATCCACTGGTGTGTGTTGGCGGACTGGCCTCAGGGAACTCCCTTCCTAATTATAGACTGAGCTAGATTTTTAATAGAGGTGATTTGTTGCCTGTACTTGCTGCAGAGAGTTCTATCCCTGAAATGTTAATACAGGTAGATCAAAATTTTCACACACGTGAAAATTCATGTTACTGAATTCGATAATAAATGTGTAGTGGTAAATATATGGCAAACAGTTTTCTTTGCAGTACAAGCAGAGAGAACATGCACCTCGGAAGCCCCACTGTGTAACTTGTTAGAAGGTGGTTGCAGGATGGCTTTCACTGGATCACCAGAGCAAAAATTATTTTGGGTGGCACTTAATACAGCTTTTATTAAAACCCTCCTGAAGAGAATACTGACCGGAGTGGTCTAAATACAGCAAAAGAAACTATCTCACTGTGAAGAATGGGCTACTGGCTGCTAGGTCTCACTGAACAGCATGGCACAGCCTTTTGGAAATGACTTTTATTGGCAACCAAACAAATTAGAAACTGTATAAGAATGAGAGAAGAAAATAAGGTAGTGAGAAAAGAGCGTATAAAATTTCTCAGACTGAAAAATCTCTCCTGATAGAAATAGACAAAATGAGCCATTAGACAAGAAGAAAATAAACATGTTCAGCAGTGATCATGCTAACGAAACCTGTCGTTCAGTGGCTTTTCATTGAAAGGGAGGGAGAGTTTCCCACAAGGGTTTTAATGAAAGTCAATGTCTTACCATTCCCCCATGTGTGGCTTGGATTCCATCTGAACTAAGATAAAATATAGAGCTAGCTAACTGACTGGACGGGGCTGAAGAGAAGCCACCAAGTTGTGCAGATGCAAACTCTCTTCACCTCTCTGCCTACCTGCAGAGGCTGCAGAAAGTGTGTTTCTTCTTTCTCTGGCTTAAGACATGTTCTGAACAAATCACTGGCCCGAGCATTGTCCCTCAGTGCACTGGTCCTGCTGGGGTTCACATCTATTCACGGAAAACTCAATCCAGCAATGCCTGGTGGTGTTTGTGAGCTGGGAGGTATTGGGTCATGCGAGATGCGTGAGAAGCTTCCACTTGCAAGCACTGTGCTCAACAGCTACCTCTGTCTTTTTGTCCACAGGCTCCACAGTGTCAGAGCAACTTGTGAAAGGAAAGGTTGGTCAGGATATCACTGTGCCCTGCTTTTACAGTGTTCAAAACAGACGAGATATCACATCAATGTGCTGGGGTCGTGACAAGTGCCCTAATTCAAAATGTTCTCGGACCATTATCTGGACAGATGGATGGAAGGTGACAGAGCAGTCCAACAGCAGGTATACGTTGAAAGGGAACTTGCAGAGAGGTGATGTGTCCCTCACGATTATGAATGCTGTGGAAGCAGACAGTGGGACATACTGCTGCCGTGTGGAGATCTCAGGTTGGTTCAACGACCAGCTACGTAACTACAACGTTGTGGTAGAGAAAGGTGAGTGCGGAGACACTCTCATGTGTCAGTACTATTGTGGGAAATCTGCTGAGTCTAGATTTCAAAGTTTGTGGTGGGAATTATTTCTATAATCATCCATCGGACTGATCTTCAGGGCTTTGCAGATCTGCTGTCTCTGCTGTTTAAATTAAGCTGTCTTTGGCATTGTTCTGATCCCAGCATGGTCACTGCAACTAAAAAAAAGGATGTGGTGCTTTGTTTCATGGTGCGTAGCACTACTGAGCTTTCTTAGAAGCACTATTTGAAGAATTTAAGAGAAAGGGTGGCATAGAACCATAGCATGGTTAGAGTTGGAAGGGCCAGTAACGATCATCGAGTTCCAACCCCTTGCCATGGGCAGGGACACCTCCCACCAGACCAGGTTGCTCAAAGCCCCATCCAACCTGGCCTTGAACACCTCCAGGGATGAGGCATCCACAACTTCCCTGGGCAACCTTTTCCAGTGTAGCACCACCCTCAGAGTAAAGAATTTATTCCTAATATCTAATCAAACTCTCCCCTCTTTTAGTTTAAAACCATTACTCCTCGTCCTACCACTACACTCCCTGACAAAGAGTTCCCTCCCCATTTTTCCTGTATTTTTCCTCCCCATTAAGTACTGGAAGGCTGCTATAAAGTCTCCCCGGAGCCTTGTCTTCTTCAGGCTGTGAACAACTCTCTCAGCCTGTCCTCACAGCAGAGGTGCTCCAGCCTTCTGATCACCTTCATGGCCTCCTCTGGACTCACTCCAAAAGGTCCATGTCTTTCCTGTGCTGCAGACATTGGAGCTGGAGGCAGCAGTGCAGGTGGGGTCTCACCAGAATGGAATAGAAGGGCAGAATCCCCTCCCTTGACCTGCTGGCCATGCTGCTTTGGATGCTGCCCAGGACACAGGCATAGGGTACTGAATTCATCCACAGCGTTACAGTTGCACTCTTTTCATAAAAAACAGTGCTTCGTTTTCCCTGCTTGATTCTAGAGTAAACCCCAGGGACACAAAATGTGCATAGACTTTTTATCAACTCTTCCTTTGATTTTTAGTTTTTCTCTTGTTTGTAAAAAGCATGATAATACATGAAACAAGTGGCTGACATGTACTTGTGTAGCTGGTGCTTGCAATTTTTTATTATGGAAAAATTTTCTCTTTTTCCCTACGTAAATGCACACTAAGGTTATTTATAATGCATATTGGTTTTGTTTTATTTTTTAACATCAGCTAGGATCTCCACTCCAAGTCCTCACACTTACACCTCTGCACAGACCTCAGGTAACTTCTATCCAAGTATTAATCTCAACAGCATATAAAACTCTATTGCAAGTGGGAAACAGATGATAGAAATTTCTTGACTAAAACTTACTAAATATTACCATAGAACCAGAGATCAGAACTTGGATTTAAATTCTGCCTGACATTATATAAAGAGATGGGAGGAAGTTTGCTTCCAGGTGTTATGCCTAAGTAGGCGTTTTATTGGTGCTGCAAGCATTGTTTTTCTTGTGGCTGTTGTTTTGGTATGTTGTTTTCTTTGTGGTATAAAATCTCACATTTTCTTCTGGAAATGCAGCCCATGAGCAGTGAAACACACATTTGTAGGAGCTGGGTATGGCCACTATTTATACAATGTATTTCTTGCTTTATAATGTAGAACTGTTTTATTGGGCTAGCTCAAAAGTCCATCTAATTAAAGAGCCTATCTCCAGTAGCAGTCAGCAGCAGATGATTAAGGAGGATTGTAGAACCAGGGCAGTAATTTCCTGATACAGTGCTAAAGTGTTCTTCTACCCTGGTGTAATGTGTGTCCTGGAGGCTCCCCATGTCCCCTGTAGCCTGTGCATATTGAATAATGTGAGGCTCCTCATTGTAGTGAGCACTCACGGGGTTTCCTCATTCCATTCACACGTTTATAGACTTCTATCATATACCCACTCGGCTGCATCTTTTCAGTCTGAAAAAGACAACTTTAACTTCAAATACGTAAGAGAGAGCTCATAGTGTAACAATACCTTATTCTCTGGATTTTGAAACAAAAATCAGGGATACTATTTGTATTTCTCCCTTTATCTTGGAGGTTTCCAGCTAAGCAACTCCACAGTGTTACAACAGTTGCATTTCCTTTTTGGGAGAGGAAGTGAAAGCTTTCTCACACTGTTTCTGTTCTGGTTGCAAATAACATGGCTTCCAATCTTAGAACTCACGGGTTTTCTTAACCCTGTGATGTCTTCCTTAGCTGCTGGTGGAACAACTGTTTATGTTTTCAGAACACAAGTTAGTATGTGCATGTTCACACAGAGGGAGAATGGAAAGGGCAGGTGGCTGTGCTCCTCCCATCTAGGAATACTATAGAATCTCCAATGGAAGAGAACAGTGAAGCAGATGATCCTGCTCTCTTCAAAACAAAGCTTCTGGGATAAGCGTAACAATTTAAAACGTCAAAGGAACCAGCTGAGGTTGTCATAATGTGAACAGGAGATTTTGTTTTTGGGAAGGTTGTATATCATCTGACAACACATGGAGAAACTGAGACTGATGATACAGAAGACATAAGTTTGTAGCTCTGAATTTTAAATACTGCAAACAGCTTTAGTCTGGGAAATTACCTTGAAATATGCTGCAGATCCTTATGCAAACTTACCATACTTTCGTCAGTCTGCTCATTATATAGCTCTCTGGGACTTTCAAAATCTCACTTACTTTCTCTGACTCTGCACCACTAGCTCTTCCAAGGCCCTGAGCTTTCATCAGTTTTCATCAGATAACCTAAGTTTGCTTTAGGCTTCAACTGCCTCTTCGTGCCTCCAAAAACAGATTGCCCACCTTGGTGACTCCTTCCTTCTGGGCCCGGTGTTGAGATAACAGCAGGAACTTAATTGTTTCCTGGAAGGAGTTCAAAGTTCTGAAAAGGGCGGTGTAGGCTCCCGTATTCAGAGTTTTGTGCTGCCCTCTGAAGGCACCAACCTCTTTATTGTGTGCAGAGCCGAGATGGCTGATAGAGACACACTTAAGTTCAGCGGTACAAGTCAGCAGTACAAATTCCTCTCTGTCAAGGCAGAATGTTTCTCTGTGCAAGTAATGTGTTCATCTTACCTTTGCTCAGCTCCTGGGAGCACCAATGAATCATCCTTCACCATCACAAGAACGTGGCCACCCGTTTCTGCTTCAGAAGCTCCTGAGACTGTAAGCATCTCTGTTGTGCTCCAGCATACCTAGACAAAGTGGGTAGATGTAAGAGGTTATTGGCTCATCCTTACACTTCACTTGTACTGTTTTAGTTTGATTGCAAAAGATGATTATATTTTTTTGTAGTCTGCATTGTTTAGTGCATATGAAAGAATGCTTAAGTGTTCATTATTAAAGCAGGGGGAGGGGGGGAACTGCTTTCCATGCATAAAGTACTTCCTACTAATGCAGGAAGAGCTTTAGCAACATCTTTATTGCCTTTCAGGCCCCTGGTCCCTGCTCAAACACCTCAGACTGCTGGGATGTAACCTCAGACATGCAGGTATGGCAGGACATGGGGAGGGTGGAAACCGGAGTGCCTGAGAGCACAGCAATGCACCTGCACCCCCCCTGCAATGGGGCTCAAACAGGCACCTCTGTCTGTCCTGCTGTGTCCATTGCAGAGTGACAGGCAGGAATATCACCCGGGTTTTATCAGGAAGAGTAGACAGCCAAGTTAGCCTTTGGGAAGGCCTGCTGGGGCATGCTACAAGAGAGTATGTGCTGTGGGCATCCATGCTGCTGCACGTGCAGAATGTCCATCCAGAACCATGCTGTGCTTCAGCCTCTTCCCAGCCTCTGAATGAGAGGTTGGATATCTAATGGCTGGCTTCAGAAAGAAGTTTTGCCTAAATAAAGACCAATGCATGGAGAAGGCATGTTTACTTATTGATATACAGCCTTGAATAACTACTGAATAAGCTGATAAGAAGGGAGTGTGTGTGACACTTGGAAAAAAAATTAATCCTAAAAATAAATATTCACCAAATACTACTAAACTTGCACAAATGGTTTTGTCATAACTTCAGATCCTTTGACTATCTCAAAAAATAACATGTTTAACAGCATGGTTCACACAACTGTTGCAGTGATGCTGCTTGAAACTAGTCCTGTATCTCAAATTAGGCTCTTGCTCTCAACTATACTTTTACAACAGGGTTGCAAAACACACAAATGGCCTTTGGGGTGCCCTATGGGCTTCTCACTGCCAGTGCCACTAATGCTCATGTGTCTTGTGTTTGGCAGAACCCATCCGTATCACGCCCCAGTCAGCAGTATTCAGAAAATTGGCTATACATTGGGATTGGCTTATGTGTGGTACTTCTAGTCATCCTTTTTTTGGCTCTGTTCATCATTAGACGTAAGTACTTTTCACAGGTGGTTATTCAGGTGGGTTGGGTACCTGAAATCGCAAGTGTGGCAGATGCCACGTGTCTTCTGCTTCAGGGAAGTGAGCTAATGTCTCTGGATGGCCACACTCTGTGCCCCTGCACTGTGGCTGCTTGCTTATCTCTCCCCCTTAGTCTCTGGGGCACAGAACACCAAGGTGCCAATGTGGTCTCATCATTTTATGTCTCAAACTCTTCAGTAACCCACAGTCTGCTGAAGAGATGTGTGATACAAGTCCACCTCTCCTGCACCACTCATTTCCCCCTACCTCCTTTCCCTCATTTCCTCCTCAGTTGCCATGTTGTCCCAGTCTTTCCCAATGGGAGGGGTACTGGTTTCACATAAACATATCCACTATTTTTCTATGTCAGACTTTCTCCATAGAGGCTCTTGGTCCAACTAAGCCATATGAATTAGTTCTCATGGAAATAATGGGGATTTCCTACACTAAAAATATCTGCTTAAAGTTCCCACAATTAGTTTCTTAAACTTGACTTTATTTTATTTTTTTGAACCCGCTACCTTACTTGCTTCTGATGGTTTAAAGAAAATTGTTTTCTTTCTTTTTTTATTTTCATTCTGGATGATCCTTAGGATATTCACACAATAAGAAGGCGACGGGTGACTTTCCAAAGTAGGTATTCTGTTCCTGCTTTAGCTGATAGGACAAACTAGGTTGCAGAAAGAAAATGTTGTCAGTATGCTGACTGTTCCACCATGTACTTTGACTTTCTTTTTAAATCTCAAGTTAATAGGAAATGTTGCAAAAAGAAATCAGTCTAACTAACTAATCAGTCGCAGATTCATCAAAAATGAGTGTAACTGGTTCATTGCATTAGGGACCATGAAAGCTTCGTGTGGGTTGTCTCTTAAGTGGAAAAATGATTCATTATCAGTCATGTTTAAATAAGTATTTTTGCATATTTTACATTTTTCCATTGAGCTGGTTGATTTTAGCTATCTGCTTTTCTTCTGTGTTTCTATTGTCTGGGTTTTTTTTGTTTAACGCCATGATTTTTACTCTTTGTGCAGTTTTGTTGCATTTTGGAGACCAGAACGTGCAGGGGACCATAGTGCCCTGGAAGATGAGACCCATGCAGAGGAAAATGTTTATATAATACACTAAGGACTACACGAATGCTTGCCTATGTCATCGCTGGGACATTAAATAGTTTGCAAAATGTTAGCTGCTCTCTTTGCTCAGCAGCTAAACGTGACTGGACTATTGAAGCATTATTCACATCATTCTAATAAAACAAATAAAAGCTACACTTCTAATTAAAAACTTTATCAGCCTGTTCCAGGAACAGAAACTCTACTAGCTCGAATGGAATTTTCCAGAATCCACTTATGAAACCCTAAATAAAGTTACCATTATATTTATTATATGTTCACACTCTCTCTTCCTTTTTGGAAAAAAGAGGAAGTGCCACAAGTGCTCAAACGCAAAAGCAAAACCACCCATGGTTTTTACAATTTGACTTCACTGTGTATTCTATCTGCCGGCTACAAAAAAGTCCATGCTGTCAGAGGGCAGAAGCAATATCATAGCTGCCCTCACAAAGATGACACATGGAAAAAAAACTTGGTAGTATTAGTATTTCAATATATATTTAGTTGAATTTTCATTAAAGTTGGGTATAACCAGTGCTGGTAACAGCCCAATTATGCAATGTACTGAGCCCACAGTTAAATCTGGAGGAGCTATTGAGGCTCTCCCCCTCATGGGATGTCCTCAGAGCCTACAGGATCAGTACTTCAATGTGCGGAATATTCATAGCTTGTTTTCAGAGAACTATGACTAAGTGTGTTTTCCTCTGCAAAAATACATCACTTTTTCTGTGACTTTCTCCTCGGGCCTGCCTATGCCCTGAAAATTTCTCAGGGAGGAAAGTCTCACTTGTAGGCCTCCAAAACAACTGAACAAAAAAATAACTACTTTGTAAAGTGAATGAAATTCTTACTTTTCTCAGCTTGTGGAAAAAGTCATGGGATGGGCATTGCACAAAATATTGGCTGAAAGTTTGCCCTGCCTTTACACCCCTCTAGGCATCAAACAACAATGTCTTATGCTGGGTTTGTTTGCTGGCTTTTAGCTCGTAAGTGGGAATATGTGTGGCCTAGCTTCTTTCCTCCATTGCTCCTCAGTGTGAGCCTTTATGTGTGGTTGAGCAATAGACACAACACGCCCAAATCAGCTTTAAGTGGGAGAATAATTTACCCCAATTGTTTTTAAGAACACATTTTTAATCAGAGGCTGGGGACTTCCTGAAAGACCAGAAGAGTAGTACAGGCAGGAGAGAGACCAACTTTCACCAAAGATGGGTACAAATTTTGCCCGAAAGCTCCTCACAAGCAGCAGGACAGAATACCTACAGCAGACACTGCTGCCCCGGGGAAGACTCAGAGACTTACCACAAACTTTCTATCACGCTCATAATTTTCGAGGGAGTCATGCAAAGAACAAAGCTGTGCTATTCGGTGAGGCATAAAGGAGCAATAATAAAAGCAGTAGATGTTAATGTTAACAGCTGAGACACTTGGGGTCACAGTCTGGTTGTGCCTTAAGGGGAGGTGGGCTCAGTGGAGCAGTTACCCATCCTTCCCCCAGCTGGTAGAGATAGGAGGGTTTGAGTGGGCTGGGAGGGGACTGGTTTCCCCCAGAAGGTCTGGAGAGCCTGGCTAAGGTGGGATACTGCAGGTGAGTGTTCTTGCAAAGGCTCATGAAGGAGGGAAAGGCTCCTCATCCTGTTGAGGAAGGAGGAAATGGAAAGTGAGTTGGGGTAGCAGACCCTGGTGTGCTTTGTACTTTCATTTATGCTGTGTGTTGTCTTCCAGCTGCCTTTTGCAGCCAGAAAGGTTGAAAACGTGGAGGTGAATTCGTGGTTGGCTAAAGACCTCAGTATAGGAGCACAAACGTTAGGTGGTCACTGATCCCTGGGCCAGGGAAGGTGGTGGAAGAAACCAGCTCTGCCATGGTCTGTCTTCATGTCACGTGTTGCCTTGTGTGAGAAGGTACCGAAGCTAGAAAGGACCTGCTAGTGTCAGACTGTATTTTTGTATTTGACTGTTTGTAACAATTACTAAACTAAAATTACTGACCCCACTGCAGACGTTGCTTTCCTTCTGCCTGGCTGAACATGTCACTGCTGTGGGCTCTAGCCCATGACCGGAGCTGGAGGAAGTCTGATCTGGTCTCTGAACTCGATCTCAGAAAACATCTTCAGCAATTTCTGCTTTCTGCAACTTTTACCAAACTAATCTCTACTGAGATCAGAGTTAGACAAGTGTTTCCAAACTTATCTGATTCCAACTGCTCATGCTCTTACAGAGTTTGAGAACAGTCCTTGAAGACTGCTAAATATGAAAATTGCTTGTCTAAAAGGATTTTTTTTCCTTAATATTACAGACTAATTCAGACTAATTCTTAAATTGGAGAGTTTTTGTGCAAAATAAAGTCCTAGGATACCTGATAACCAAAATCTCAACTAAAGTTTCCTTTCTGCTGTGCAATTATTTAGTAAACAGACTCTGCAAAGGTTGTGTGGAGCAAGAACTTTGCCTTGGATATGCAGTGTAACCCGTACAAATACATGCAGGTAGAGGTCCCCTGTGCTATTTCGTGACTTCCACTCCTGTCAGTGGATCTTGGAACAGGCATTTCAAAATGAGCCCCAGAGACGTGCAGGTGGCACTTGGAGCCCATTCACCCATTAAGAAACTATCCACCAGCACACAAACTGGCAGTGCATTGAGTGTGATAAAGCTAACGAGCTGCAAACTGATTTTTGTTCAGAGAGCTCTCTGCCTTTCTTTTTCTATCTGCAAGAAGCCACTAGATAGCAGTACATAAGCAGAAAAGAAGGCATATTTTTCTAGTTCTTCCCAGCATACTTGGATTTTGGGTGGCCTTTTTCAATTCACTCTGCTGCATTTAGCCCAGCCTTGCTAAAGAAACAAAGCTGACGTGATGTTCATCCTCTTTCTTCCCTAGTCACGTGCAACATACTGACCAATTCTGTTTTGATGAGCTTCATGAAATTGGTAGCTGTATAAAGCTCCAAATTTGTGCCCCAGGTGGGATTCAGCTGCTCCCTGCACTGGCATCAACCGGTCATGGGCTCCCAGCCACTGCTTAATGGCAAGTGATGGAAGGCAAAGGAGAAACTGGGATCATTGCAGGGAGAAAGTCTCCAGGTTATTGGGCACATCAGGTCTCATTAGCTCTGCTCACAGAACAGCTGGGGCTGGGTGTACTTGTCATTGTAGGAACTGTACCTGGTAGAACAGAACAAACTATATACTTTACTGATTGCTGGTTAACGTGCCTTATAATGTTGACAGTAAGACACTGCTGTATTGTTGTGTTTATCCCCACTGATTGCTGGGTTTGCTGCACTGAAGCATGTGAAGGTACAGAGAAGCATTGTGGCATCACTTTGATTCAGAATAAACTCAGAATAGTTCTCTGAGTTCACGTCGCTTGAATCTGCCACTAAGTTGGCTACAGCTGCATCAGTTGGCTGCATGGTGGTGAAAGAAACCAGGCATCCTGCTTTTGCTGGAGCCTAGTCTGTTGGGGGTCTACTTCTTGGCACTGCAGTGTAGTGGTAGTGCGATGGATGAGGATGCTAATGAGAGGTAGCTTCCTACTCCAGTGTACTACCGAGTCTAACAGGTCTGCAAGCACAAGAATCCTAGCACGAGAGTTCCTCTCTGATGCTGTGTTGGGAGGGGATTTTGAACAGCCCCTTAAAGCACTAGGATTCAAGGACCTTCACATCCTTCTTAAATTGTGGGACCCAGAACTGCACGCAATATTCAAATTGAGGCCACGCCAATGCTGAATACAACAGTAGAACCACCTCTTTTGACGGGCTTCTATCCGGAAGCGTAGGGAAGAAGCAGTTGCCGTACACAAAATCTGGAAATGGAGAAATGAGACTTCAGTGGGGCTCACTCAGCATCTCTGGAAAGCATAAGATCGAGTTTTCTCTCCTTCCACTCGCTGCCCGGGAGTCTCCACCAGATAAAATGTCCCATTTTGTGCTGTTTCACTGGATTATGATACAGATCTTTATAGGTGAGTCTTCACCAGCTTTTTGTGTGCTTGCTGAGAAAACAAAAATTTTGTAAAATTAAAAATAGCAACACTGTTTTGTGAAAACAAAACAGTGAAAAAGGTCGCAATTGTATACAGAACTTCAAAGGTTTTCTTAGCTTACCGAGTTAATGCTGATTGAGACTTCTTTTTCTGTTTAAAAATGTATGTGGTTTCTTCTGTGTATAGGCTTGGTTAATTCTTCTGTCCCCCCAGATTATCTAATTTCTTTACTGCTGTTGAGTGCGTACTGCTGGCTTTGCTTCTTCATCTGTCTCTCCACTACGCTACAGCGCTGACACAGCACAAACTGGGGAATTGAAATACTGACAGAGTAATGAATGTATATACATGATAAAGAGAGGATTTTCTGAAACTCTGAGGGCTGTCTGCGGCTATGAACCGAGTATGGGAAAGCGCGGCCGGAGATTCCTCTCCTCTTACTCCTAAGTGTTCAGTTCATCCATCTAAAATCTGAATCCTAAAAAAGGTAGAAGTCAAAGAAGAGTAACGTGGGAGACTGGGTCTTGCAAACGTGGTTGGTATTGGCTACATTTCTGCTTGCACACTTAGGGATCAGCAATGCAGTTTCCAAATTGCCTGAGATGGCTCAGGAATGTCAGTTCACTCCCTTTCAGTGGGGCATGAGCTTATGCGAGTTGTGCTTTTAAATCACTTAGGCATTTCAGGAAATTTTATCTCAGATGAATAAATATTGATTGGCTCAGCATGAAATATTATGTATAACATCTACAGCAACTGCGTTCTTCCTAAATTGATCTCAAAAGTAGTGAAAATTTTGGTTGGTGGCAGGATACACCGAGAGCCAAGAGGTGATCTGTGCCCCATTGAGGCAAGGTAACACAAAATCCACGGTGTCTGCTGCGCAAATGGAGCTTTGCCAGCACTTTGCTGAAGCCCAGGGAATTCTGTTATTTTTTTTGTCTTTTGCTAGTCTCAGCAGAAGAAACAGGAAGGCTCTTTGCTTGCCATATCTTCAGCCTCAAAATAAATCAGAGATATTTGCCTCCATATGGTCTTAGTTTCTAAAACTTTCTTGTATGCAGAGCTAGGGAGGGGCGAGAATTACGTCTTATTGTAACTCCACTCAGTGCTGAAAATGGGTATTCTTGAGACTCAGGAAACCACCAGACCAGCAGTTAAATGCTTCTTTTCTCCTTATCAATAATTTTCTCCGCAATTTCATCAGTACAGAAGCTTCAAGAAGAAATAAAAAATATTTTGGGTTGCTAAGCAAAAGATGCCAAGAATCTTCTACAAAGAGGGAAAATTATTCCAGAAATAGATCAAGAAAAAAAATTATTTTCCAACCAGCCTTCTTGGCTGGAGAATGTATGTCTTTGTCCATTGAATGTCCAGTCTACGGGAGAGAAGACCACTACAACAGCAGCTCTTGGAGTTACTACTTGATACCAACTGTCACTGAGGGTTGGTTCAAGAGAGACTATATATAAATATGTGTATATCTGGATGATCTGAACAATTATGAATACCCCTTTTGATTTTGGAAGATGTATTAAACATCTGGAATCCATGTCTCTCTTACTTGGATTAAGGACTTTGAGTGGGAAACCTCACTGATTTCAGTGGTACTACCCAGGCATAGCTGATGGTCTGGGTGCCTTGGGTCAAACCTGGATGCCTAGGAGGATCGCTGCCATGGTCAAGGGTAGGATTCCTCTCACAGTAAGACCAGGGTGTCACAATATAACAGGCTCAAGAACCTCCTAATTTGAAGACATGTTTTGAAGTCCTAGTTACTATTTCTTTTGGAAGAGGTTGCAACTGAGAAGGAAGTTATTGAGTCCTTGCAGAGGTTTGTACCAGTGAATCAAGGCTGTTATAGTATTGAAGCTTTCCATACCAACCTGCAGTGCAGGCAGATGTTGGCAACATTAGCTTCACATAAATTTAAAGAGGATTTGAAACTGCAAAACCTGTAACATTCTAGCACCAATACTGGTGGGAAACTGCACTGGAGACACTCTGGTGCCTTGTGTCTTCCCTCTTCTTCTTTTCATTTATTTATTTAATAAGCTCAGGGCTCTGCTTCTTTCAAAGAGAAGAGCAGGCTAATTTTCATTTGTAAAGGGTCGCTAAATGAAGCTGCTTTTGTGCTGCGCAGCGCCGTGATGAAATAAGAGCTGAAGATAAGCCCGTTTCTCCTGAAGCAGCAGTGACAGCTCCAGGAATAGTTTAAGCTGCTCTTGGTTTTACACACAACTTGTTGGGATGAATTGCAAATATGTGTTAACCCACTCAGTAACTAACCCCCTGCTCTCCTAGGGATACTTTCAAGGTCATCTGAATGAACCATTTTGTTCTGTTATTACAGAAAGAGCCTGTTTTCTCTATTTTGCTGTAAAAAGGCATACGAATCTCCCCTTTCCAAGGACTAAAACAAGCAGCCATCTTGCAAAGCCTTATCCTGTATGCGGGAATTCATTTTTTTGGCACGTCCTACCTTCATTTCACTGCAAAAGCCTCTGTCCTTCACACTATATTGCATGTTGTTTTGTCTGCCTCTACTCTTTTAGCATTTGGAGCTGTGGAAACCTGAATGACTTGGCTTATTTTGCCAATGGGATAAGCAATAATGAAGCCGAAATGTCATCCCAATAACAAGTCATGAGGCAGCCTGCCACAGACTAAAACCTCACCTGGGGAATAGTCCATTAAAGACAAAACAAAAGAGACATGGACACAGTTGGAAGCATCTGTTTGCTATCTGGGAGGCACGCCAAGAAGAAAAGGCATTCAAACAGCTGGCAAAATAGAAATGTTTGGCAAACCAAGGCCAAAGCTGGTGATAATAGCAGCAACTGCTGTAAGTTTTTTTTGGGGTAAGCAAGCTGGCCATCAGACATCAGGTCTGCAGGATGATGCTCTTGCTGCAGCAGAGGACCAGATCTGGAGACTCCCCAGGTCCCTCTGCTCCTACTCCACCATATGTAACCGATAACATGGGGGGAAAAGGCAACAAGGTAGGAGAACTGACACACAATAGATTAATGTAAACCAGAAAAGATTTGTTTCTGTATGGGACCCTTTTTTTTGGTATAGTGCCTTTTATGAAGAAGAGATTCCTTTTAGGGCAATCTGGGAACTGCATAGACAGTTAAGATGGAACAATACGTAGCAAAGATTCAAACCACATACTAAGGTGGGTATTGGCTGTAAACACCAAATAAAGCTGGTCATTAAGAGCAAGAGCACAAGGAAAACATGCCCTTTTTAACATCAGTGTAACACTAGCAGTTAAAGCTTTGATGTACGCTGTGCTCTGCAAGGTACGTGGGATGGTTGGCAGGGCTTGCTCAGAAACAGAAAAAAGCACTTTCTGAGAACAGGTTCCATAACCATATCCCACTGCTCTGCCAGCTTAATTAGGCCCTAATTTCACACATGAACAGGTATTTTGGACACTGCTATCGAGACTGTCAGTGAAAGGCAACTATGACAGCATTTCCTTCTTGAAGGAGACGATGATGGACTGAGAAAAGCAGATGTATTTCACACTAGGTTTCTGAACAACTTTCAAACAATCTCTTAGAGATGTATTTCACACTGTTTCTGAACAACTTTCAAACAATCTCTTAGGAGAGGAGGTGAGATGGGAGCAGAGTTCCCAAATTCCATTTGCACAGGTCTAGTCTGCACTCAGGTTGCCAGCTACAGACCTCTGCTTTGCTTACCACATGTTCAATGTGGGTGATATATTTCATGAGCAACTCTGCAGCAGCTGGCTGAGGGCAGAGCATGGATCCGGCCATCTCCTGGCTGTCATCCGCTGTGCCCTGGGCCATTAGCTGCCACCAGCTCCTGGGGAAGGCTCGGGGGATCTGTAACTGTGCCCTGCCTGCAAGCAGGAGAATTTCTTTTCCTGCCTCATTGTGTTGCACAGGTAGAGTCACTCATGGGAGAACGGCCAACACTCATCTTTCCTTGTTCTTCCTTGACAGCCCACGCCAATTCCGAAGCTGTTGTTAGAGGAGTAATAGGACAACCTGTTCGGTTGCCTTGCAGTTACTCGGTGGCGCGAGAGAAGGACATCTCCGACATGTGCTGGGGCAGAGGCCCGTGTCCAAAATCAAAGTGCACTGACAAAATTTTGCACACCACTAGGAATAGGGTGACATTCAGAACGTCGCAGAGATACGATCTCCGGGGCTATATTTCCTACGGAGACGTGTCTCTCACGATTGCAAAAGTGATGGCAGAAGATGCAGGTACATACTGCTGCCGCATAGAGATCCCGGGCTGGTTCAACGACATCAAACAGAACATACACCTGGAGGTGGACACAGGTGAGTTTGAGGATCCTTGTGATACAGCCAGCAGGGAGAAACCTCTCTCTGGGTTGGAGTTTAAAACTGGAGTTTATGTGTTCTTTTTTGTTTGTTTGTTTGTTTTGGCAAAATGTGGTTTTCTGAAATCATGTAGTTTTCAAGGGAGGTCTGCAACCAGTTACCAATTTGAATCGCAGATGATGAGCAGTTTTGAGGAGAAAATAGTAACTTTTACCTTTCTTCTGCCTTTCAAATGAAATGTTTGATTTCTCATTGCGTAGCTATATTTGACGTTTTAAAAGACGACGGAATTGAAAAAGGGATTTATCATTTGAAGGGCCCTTGGAATGAAATTCAGTTTTTCATTTGGGGCTCACCCCAACACCAAAAAGGCTTTCATTTGCTTCATGTCGTAAGGAGACCCACGTGTTTAGGAATTCTGTCTCAGAGTCTTGAAGGACTTTTCCCCCTTCATATTATTTTGCTGAGCTGCGGGATAAAGTAAGAGTCTTACAAAGTCGAGAAGAGGCTGCAAAGCATTGCAGAGCACAGAGAAAAAGATGTACCCACCCTCCACACTGCAGAAAGACAATTTTTTTTCTGACTTTTATAGGGTATTCAGGAGTGCAGTTGGTGCTGACGTACACAGCACTCTTGTATGCCTGTTGCAAGTGATATAACAAGAGAGTGGGGGGGAAAATCCTGCAATCCCATGTCAGTTCCTGAGTTTGAGGGCAAGAGAGTTCAAAAAAAACAAGGACTGGTTGAAAAGATTAGCAGAAAGATTTTAACTGAGGATCAAGCTGGTTTATTTATTTTATTTTCATAAGGACATTGAAAAGCAAAATCACAAAGTTTGCAAGGTTTTGGGTTCTACCATGAGGGGTTCTGACCCTTCCATTTTGTAACAGGGTCAAGGAGGGGGTGCATGAGACCTTCAAAAGACAAATCTGTAATTGCTTTGGCTGGGGCATGTCTTCTGCTAATTAAAGCACCTTTTAAAATAGCAGCTCTCCCAGCTTCATTCTCAGTATTTTAGCAGCTACATGATTTTAATTCATTTCTGGGTTGGCTTTCCTCGGGGTCAGTTCTGAATGCTCTAATCTAGTTTTTCTGTTGGCTATGTTTTTTCCATGCAGCCCCTCCAGTGACAACAACCACCACAAGAAAGGCTCCCGTTTCCCCTAAACGTTTTAGAAAAACAACTTTGGCTCCCCGAACAACCTCTGAGCATCAAACAACAGCAGAGACTACTGTCCTCCTGACAACCACCATCCCCCCAGCAACAACTGCAACCACTGATCATCAAACAACAGCAGAGACTACTGTCCTCCTGACAGCCACTGTCCCTGAAGCAACAACTGCAACCACTGAGTCTCTAGCTGGAATCACACTGAAGACCTCTGTTCCTCCAAAATTTGCTGTGACAGAAAATGATATTTTTCCAGAAACTGTGCTGACAACTAGTGCTCCCCCAGATTTTTCAACTGGTTTCCAAACAGCTGACACGAGGACTGAAGATGACTACATGTTCTGCCCAACAGACTCTGTCCCTCTTCCTGGAGGTACAAAGGGTAACCAGTGCCAACCCTTTCTTTTTTCTGTGTAGCATCTGGTCTGTGTTAGCCTGACTCTGGCATCATACAGACTCTCCAAATACTTATATTATATCTGGGAAGTCTTCTCTGAGATGCCTATTGCCTCAGTAGGTTTAAGGAAACACAGGTCAAGTGTTGGGGATGATGCCAAACTGGGGTGAATGGCCAAGACAGCAGAGGGTCAGGCTTGCCTTCAGAGGAGTTCTAACAGGCTGGAGAAATAATGTGATGGAAACCTCATGAGGTACAACAGAAATAAATACAAAGTCCTGCACCTGGGATGGAGTAAGAGAGATTAACTCAAGTATGGACTAATTTTTTTTCATGTTTTGGGAAAGGCAATTGAAATGGTCTGATGAAATGGTTAGTTTAGGGCATGTTCTGCCTGAGCAATAAAGTCAGTGAGAATTCAAAACATGCTTAAAATTCAGTACTTGCATTGTCATCCCATATGAAGGCTGCTGTTATTATTAATATTAGGTGATCAGAGTCACCTATTAGAATTCTAACCATTCCTAGGTTGCTCTTTATCCACATCAGTGACTTCTTTTCCACAGACTGATGTCTGCACACAAGGCTGGTTTTTGTACTTTTTTGTGTCTTCTGTCACTTGAAGTTCTTCCTGACCTGAACCTCTAAGGACAGCTTTTCTGTACCATCTCTCATCTTCCAGCCATAACAAGTGCCTCAGTTAAGCTTGGCAACAATTAATTACATCCACAGTTGAATAGTTGAAGCATCTAACCACTGGCCATGTTAGTAAAGTGTACCAGTTATCTGGGTAGGATGAGACCCAGAAATAAAAACTGAGGTGCAGATTTTCACCTCTTAGTTACAGGTGCAGAACTGTGCAAGTGATTTTGAATGCCATATGAAGACCCTCCTAATCAGTGATCTTTATAAGCATGACTTTTACTTTGTTTCAGTGACTACCAAATTCCCAAGTGCATTTCCGACTGCAGAGGGAACTAAAAGTGCTGACAGCTCTCTCATGGTGGAAGATGTGCCAACTGCAGGTGAGGAGGGTAACATTGCAAAGTCAGAAGTTGCATGTTCAGAGGTAAATGAAGAAGTTGTCATAAAAAAAAGTATTGACTATTCTTAAGTGTACCAAACTTACTGATAGCTATTCATTGCATCTGAAAGTAAGAGGTATATGGGGTCCCCACAGAAATTGTGGTCAGGATGTAACAACAGCTGAGAAAAAACAGCTGAGAAAAAGCCTCCAAAGGAAGTAGATTTTGAGTCACTGACTGTCAGGTATCTCAGGTCTGAAAGAAGTTAAGACTTTTCTCTGTCACCATCCAACCTGAATTCTCAGGTATCTGATTTGTCATCACTGTGAATTCATTGAGCTTTCAATTTTAAATCCTCCCTGAGTGTTGTGAGCTTTGAACCTCACTGGATATTCAGCCAGATGTGACTGCAGGCTCAGCTCTCCAATGCTCAATATGTGCCCTTGGTCATGATGGAAAGCAGCAGTCAATTACCACAATTACCAATCATTCCTTCAAGAAAAAAAGAAACTATATACAAATTCATACTGTACCTGAGAAATGAACACACTTCCATGAAGTTTGCACTTCGTATCTTTCAGTCAAGTACAAAAGTAGAATGGCTCAAGTTATTCAGGTGTGATAGTCTACCCACCCGATGCCCTTAAGTGAGAACTTAAAAAGGGAAAGCTGAAATTCAAGGATGGTATGTCATATTTAGCTGTTAAGAGAGTTCTTTTAGTTTCAACTAGTGCCAAGAATCTCTTCATTCTTAAAAACACAGTATTTAGACTTTTGCAGGTCTTTTTTACTAGACCTAGAGACTTACAGCAGAAATAGAGTTTAGGAAGCTGTTCCTTAATGCCCCTGGAGAGGGCTCACAGAAGAGAATAAACTGGTCTTTTGAGCATTTGTGTGGGTTCTCACCCCTGTCTCACTTGTTATCTTTCTGATGTAGTTCTGGATAATGTCTATATTCTGCCATTGAAAACAGGGAGTTTTGCAAAGGGTCTTACATCTGGGATTCTGGGGGCAACTTCAGTTGTGAGTGTGGACTAGAAAGAGCCACCACAAAAGCAGTAAGATCAGAAGATGTACCACGCTTATGTGAGTCATGTACACTCCCACCCATGCAAAAACTTGTGTCACGCTGTTTCCGAGAGCCAAACCGTTATAAGGTGTGAAAATGCTGCAGCACAGCTGAGCACTGTCTAGTAAGAGCCATAAACCAAGTTAAATTCTTGACTCTGTCTCCTTTTACTCTGTGAAATAATGCACTAAATGGACCAACTTTAGCCTTATTGTAACGTAAGGGAAAGCTAATTTGTTGATGAACTCTGTATTGGTGTTAGCACAGTGGCTGGGAGAGAAACACATAGTTGAGAGAGTGCTCCTTTTCCAAGTACAGTTCCTGCCAGTTAGGTTGGGTTAGCTGGGGTGGTTGGTTCTTGCTGACTGGGCTCTCATTTAGTTTCTCCCCTGTCTTCACCTGCTTTCCCCCCAGCAACTACCCCACCAGCACCAACCATGCTTTGGACCCCTTGCTCTTTCAGTAAGCAGCAGTAGTTGCTCCCATCAGGCTGGCTGCAGTGCGCTACTGGAAAGTTTAATTTTAACTTGTGGGAGATGCATGTCAGAGTGAGATGTGCACTTCTTCTGTATTTGGGGGTAGCTCTGTTGGATTTCTGCCCCTTCCCTTCCCTTCTTGGAAAAGAGTGATGTCATAAAACAGGCGTATGGTAAAATGTTCATGTATCCCTGGGATTTTCAGCACTTGCTAGAGTTTATTACCTACATTTGTTTAGCTGTAGTGCTTATTAGCCATAATTTCTTTTCTACTTCAGTGCAAAATTCTAGCCACAGTCGCATGTATATGAGCTACGTGTGCCCTGAGCCTGTCTTTGATAAAATGTAAGCACAGTATTTCATACATGGAGACAATTAAACTCATCTCTCAGAGAGAGCTGAGAAATTTGGCGGAGATTAGATTATTCACTGAATAACATACTGTGAAAAACTTTTTAAAAAGAGCAAAAAAGCAATTTTTTTTTTCTAATACACTTATTTGTGACCATCTGATCACCCCCATCATCATGTGATGCTCTGGGTGTCTCATGCATAGAAAGTTTCCTTTGGCTGCGGTCTCGGGCACCACAAGCGTGTTACATATACATGCCCCAACAAATTACTCATCTGATCCCTGGCATGTTTTGCTCAGATGGAGGCTTCACAGTTGTTCTTTTGTCAAACATTTGAAAGCATTACTCATCACTGTCTTTTGACATATTAGGGTATGACTGAAGGCACAGGAACTTTCCTGTCATAGGATGTAAGCTGAGGTTTTGATTCACGAAGCTGAGTGACTCCTCTGTTTTTAAGATGCTGCGAAGCATTGGGTGCTTCCTGCAACAGATTGAAGGCTCCAAATACTTAAATACTTCATTACTTTGTAGCATGAGGTCATTAATTTAGGCCCAAGCCTAAATTAACTTTTTGTGACTTTAAATTCACTAACAAAAGCAAGAGAGTAGGATCATACGGTAACGGCGGAAAAGCTTGCTGCAAGAGTTCTTGGGGATTCATTTAGTTCATCTCTGTTTCTAAAGCTTAGAAAACTAGAACTGATTTATCCTTAATATCCCAAAATAGGGGGGGAAAAAAGTGCATCCACTTCATAGAGCTTTCTTAAATCTGTGGTAAGTTACCTGAATGTAAAGATGTTTCCTCCGGTTTTCAGTACTAATGCAGCTTTCAAATATTGCATCACACATAAGACAGACCACAATTAAACTGAGGCAGTTCCTCCACTTAGACTTGTACCTTGTTTACTACCCCTGCTCTCTACGACATCTTGTCATGTTACAGAAGTGAAAACTCCTTTGCAGCAGACAAGTTTCTGCTGTCTTGTTTCATGGGCTATCCCTGGGAAGCCTCTTTTTTCCCAATGACTGCCTGATATACCACTTGTGGCGGAAACAAGATTGTTTGCTTTTGGTTGTAAGGTGCTTTATTTCTCCTGTTCAGGACCAGATTGTGCCCTCCTCATTCCCTTCTCTGAAGCAGTGACAACCACAGTGGCTCTCACTGCTTCAGGTGACTGTGCCAGTAATAATTTCAGTCCCTTTTGTTTTCAGGGATTTCAGCAAGTTCCGATGACAAGGCTGAGGAACAGGATGATACCAGAGTTAAGGTAAAAAACTTACTCTAAGTTTCACGAGGGTGAAGCCAGAAGGACAGCAGAACAAGCTGGTGATTTTCGATGTATTCATACTAAAGGGACAGGGTTTGCAAACAGTAGCTTGAACTTTTGTTTGGAAGCTGAGGAGCCACCTATTAATCTTTCCAGTGGATAGAGGCAAAGCCTGTGGCCATCCCACCTTGTTTGGAGACTTCATAAAAACCTCATCCCCCTGACACTCCTGTGGGACAGGCAGAGGTAGCACGCTTGGGGTGTGATCAGGCAAAAGGCAACTTAGAAGGGTTGTTACACTTCCATGTCTCTAATTAAGAGAAGGATGAGGGTGACTAAGCTCCTACTTTAGACACCTTATTAAGAAGTTCATCTTAAGTGGGATGAATCTAGGCTCAAATGCTTCAGAATAAGATTTATTAAATACTTAACAGGTAATTCACGTTGTTTATCATGATCAGCCTGATGTGTCTTCTCCATACTTTGTACAGGCAAGCTCAGAAAAGCCTTGCAAACCCCAGCCCGATGCAGATATTTCAGAGCTCTTAGCCACTAGGCCAACCCACTCCTGTGTGAATAGGTCTGAAGTAAACATATTTCTAAATCCTTTTCAGTTTTTCTCTTCTCCCTTCCAGTTTCCCAGCTATGCCATTCTCATTGCCTGTCTCATAGCATTGTCCATTCTTTTCATATTGATGCTTTCGGTGCTCCGGAAACGTAAGTATCCCCTAGCAATTAATTGACCAATGTTTCTAATGCTGGCTTAGCGCAGATGTCCCTCTTTGTCTCTGGTTAATCTTCTGGTAAATCTGCCATGGCCCCTGTGACAGCACTCTGTTCTTTTTATGGGGGTTGCTGTCCTTACTCCAGGACTGTGTCACCACGAGGAGACCATGGAGCATGAGTTGGTGGGGATGCAGCGCGAGGAAACCTGTGCAAAGAACGTGTTCACTCAGTTATTGCAGGTCTGGCTCATCTTGTTGGCTCTTGCTTTATAGTAATGTGGTCCCATAGTTTCCTGGAATTGCTCCTTACAGACATTTGTGTAACTTAAATCGGAATGAGATCCCTTCTTTCCTGCTTAGCCCACAGAAATTTAGCAACTTGCTATCTTTTCTTCCGAACTTGTTTGACAGATTCATTAGAATTATAGATTTCTTTTTGCCTTTGTGACATTAATATTATTTTGCTTCTAGGTAAACACACAAAGAAGTTTATAACAAAAAGGTAATCCATTTTGTAATTTCCTATTAAAAGTTCCAATATAATTTTTCTTAGAGGCAGGAAGGAATTGGCCACTGATTGCAATGGGTACAGTATTGGCTTGAGGTGCTGACTACTAAAGTTGTATTATGAGCAAGCTTCAGGTGACTTCACCCCAGAAAATAAAACAGTGGTTCCTGGATACTGCTTCTATGCAGCAGTGAACAGACATCTGAGCCCTGGAGAACTTTGGCAAATGGTACTTACTGTTATGTGGTGACCCCAGTTTAGGGAAACACCTAATGCGCTTTTGATCAAATATCACAGAATGACTCTGGTGGAGAAATTAAGAGATAAATGGTTATGGTGATCAACCAGCAAAATGATTGCTCAGAGAGGGATCAGGGATTTATGGACAGTCTGAATGAATACACAATGAATGGGGCTCATGAAGGGCACACTGCAGCAGTGTGGCAAACCAGGCTTTTCACTAGTAAATAAATCCTGGAGCTCTCATGGGGCCACTGCACCCTCTCACACGTTCCTTTGGTCACACTGAAGTATCTGAAGTGATCTTTGAGGTGATCGTTTTGAGGCAGATATGAAATGTTGGAGTATGAAGAGTCACCCCATGCAGGTGTAACTGATAAGTTCATGTCTTCTGGCTTATCTTGAAAAAAGGGATTTTCTCTAGACAAACCACAGGATAGTCCAGTCAAGAATCATCCCTTTGCCAAAGACCAATAATTTTTCAATAGTAGATGGTTCACCACTGCATACCCCACCTAGGAGATAAGAACTGGGGGCCAAGGAGGGACTCTTCTCTGAATGCCATGGTGGTTACCCTACAGCTGTCACTATAAAATCTGAACAGCCCTTTCCTATCCATTAGAAAAATGCAAACAATTCTCTCTCTGGTGTAAAAAGTAGGCATTGCACCACTGAAGTCAGTGGACTCAGTAGCTTCTGGTCTCTGTTTCAATGGGAATTTGCTGACGTTAAAAGTAAGAAAGTGTGCTGTGAAGCAGCAGTGTGCTTTTGCCCCATCCATAGCTATCTATGCTTCTCACTACAGCTTTGGACCAGTGGAAGACGCTGAAAAAGTTTTCAATGGCGCCGAAGGAGAAAACAGCATGTTTTCCCTGTGAGGACCTCCTACGTCAGCTGTGGACGTCATGGAAAATAAAAAGGGCCTGTTTCGTGCTGCACTGAGAGATGCTTATGAGCCCTCAAAATATCAGTGGGTGAAAACCAAAGGCCAAGTCTTCCACTGTGAAAATTTAAAATCTTTGTGCAAATTTTGCCATGTCACCTTTAAAACTCATTGCAAAAAAAAGCTTCTTTGAGAAGGTGCTTTATGCATTATTCATAGGTGTTTCCAGCATCCGCATTCTAACTAATACCATGTTACAGAACTGAATTTGCTTTTCTCCATTTTTACTAATGCTCTTCCTTGAATACAACTTACACTGTGAGGAACAGAAGAGAGAAGAACTAACATGGAATGCTGACTAACTTCAAATTGCCAAAAGTAAAATAAAATCAGGAAATACAGCTCTTAATGCTTTTATATAATCAAGAGAAAAATTAAGCCGTAAGAATGCCATGAGTATAAGTAAAAATGCAGATTACTTAATGGGTCAAGAATGTTATAAGTAAAAATGCAGATTACTTAATGGGTACTAATGCTGCCTGTGATTCAGTATGTTTGAATGACCCTTGGAGACTACATTAATAAACTTTGTAATTTACCACTAGCAATTGTATTTCTTATGCCACATCCTAAGGCATTTGAGCAGGAGTTAGTTATTCCCCAGACGTAGCAATGACTGGTGTGCTGTCTCAGCTCTCCAAAGTACTGCAGTATTTCCAGAGGTGGGACAATGCCCAGAAGATCAACCTGTGGGAAAATTTTACTATCCTGCCCCCACAACCCTCCACACCACTCATTTGTAAATCCATGTCCCCCCCATCAATGTGCGTAGGGGATCCCCAGTCATTTGTTTGGAGTTGCCTTTTGGTCCTCACGACAACAGCATGCAAAACCCAGTAGCTCTCATGGTGGAGTCTGCTTGGCAATGCAGCCCTGCGTCATCATCAAATGACCCAGGGTGCCTCATTTAGGGTTCCAGCGTAGCATAGTGATGTCTGCCTGGGTTTTGTATGGATGAGACTGGTGTGCCCAGTCCCACCAGTGCTGCCCGTTTACCTTTTAGAGAAGTTGCAGGTGAGAAGCACAATGCAGAGCACAGCCACATCTTGGAAAGTTTGGCCTTTCAGGTGCCCGCGGGAGGTGGGTGAAGCTACCTCCATGTTTCTGAGCAGCATAGGCAAAAATCCAGTAAAAGGCTCTGGGGATAGTAAAAACCATGAAGAAGAAGAGATGAAGGGTAGCATTCACCTGCTGCTACTTCTAGTAGGGACAAAAGGGCTGCAGTGGAGAACATTGCTGCTGCTGGGGAGAAAATTTGTCCCCAGTCCTTCTCTGCAGCAACAAGCTGCCCCAAGACTGCTACCCCATCCTCAGGGACACCAGCAGGACCTGCCATCCCTGTTCCCAGGACTTTGGTGTCACAGAGGTGGCGAGCAGGCTGTGGCTGCTTAGCTGCTCACACATAGCCCTGTGTTGGGCTTAGAGCTGCCCCTGAGGCTGGGGATGGTTTGGACATTGTGGGCTGCATGGGCACCTGTGTGGTTAGTACAGGGGGGGCACCTCCATGCTGTGGATGTTGGCTTGGCCCCAGGGTGCCTGAGCAGGAGGCAGGGCTGCCGGCACCACAGAGCAGTCCAGGGAAATCCAGAAATCCTCCCTGTTATCCTCAAGCCATATAAATGCTGCCATAATGATAGCTCTGCAGCACTAACCTTGTCTTCTGCTCAACTGGGAAAACTGGAGCCTTCAGGTGGCTGCGAGGCAGACCAGCAATGCATGGCACAGCGAAGCCCACCATTTCACTGTACTAATCACACCCTTTCTGATGGCACTTTTCCTTATGTTTCAGCTGGGTTGAGATTTAGGCTTTCAAAGCCAGACTGAGTTGGTAACCAGCCTGGAGGCATTAGGAGGCTGGGGGGATCATCTATGGGACACGCTGCAGAGCTGTCATTATCTCATCTGTCTTCACCAACTCTGCTGCAGTGACTATGGGAATGGCATGGGAGAAGGTTCAAAGCCACAACACTGTTTGTTATGTCCACTGGTGGGAGTTCACCAGTACCTGCTATAGCAACTCTGGGCAACGACAACTTGAAGCAAGAGCCCCTATTGTGAGAATAGCATTTGATCAGAAGAAAACATGGTGTGGCAGCTCTGGACTTCCCCGCTGCTCATGCCCAAGGGCTGTGGTGAGACTTTTTGACTCTACAGCGTCTTCTCACAGGCCATGAGTTAGAGGGAGGCAGGGGAGGTTCCTCTTTGGGTTCCTTCTCCGTTTTGCTGGGGTTCAGCACCCTGCTGCCCTGCTCTAGCCACACTGTGGGTGGCCAAGCAGAGGATGTGGCCAGCAGCCTCCCAGGTTGGGTTTGCTCAGCTGAGACCCGTGTCTGTCCCACACTGGTTAATGTGGCTGCTGCCACCCAACACACAGCACGAGCTGAGCCTGGGGGCTGGCGCCTGACACTGCTTCTAGGCAGGAATCCCCCACAAATCTGTAAGGATTAAAAGGGGAAAAAAGACCCAAACAGTTTTGAAGTACTCCTTTAAAAAAAAAAAAAAAAAAAAAAAGCTTTTTTTTTTTTCTTTCCTCCTCCCTCCCCCAGGTAAACCTGCTAATTAAGCCAGCAATATCTTAATTGCAACTTCCAATTGGCAAGGCTGGGCCAATCCTTTTGCTCTTATTAATTAGCTCTGCACTAATGACTTCTTTAGAGCTGGGTTGTCTCTTGCTGGGGAAGGTTCTAGTACCTTTGCTGTGGTGCTGGCTGGACATGAAGGCCCTGCTTTGGGGAGCTGCACAACAGCAGAAGAAATAGGAGCCAACAAAGTGAGTTTGATCTGGTCAGCCATGTGGAAATGCAGCCCAGAGATGCTGTAGGGAAGCTGTAAGTGTAACTTATGTTGCTGAGCTTTTTTGTATATCTTTTTATCCACCCCAATTACTGAGGCTGAGGTTTGGGTTTAGAGTGGTGATTGGAAGCAAGGAATGTGGGTTATATTTAAATGAAAATGCATTGAAGTAATTTCTGAGGAACTGACCCTGGCTGTCAGCATGTTCAGCGGAAGGTTAAAGCCAGCCTTTTAAAACGTAGCTGGAGGAAAAAGAAATGCTGTTTTCTGAAAGCAACAGAAGCCCCAGAATGCAGTGTCTGGGTCTAGTGAAGAAAAACTGGATGAAAGCCACAGGTTTTTAGCAAGAAAAGACTGTCAGAGGGTATGTCATTGGCATCTGGAAATGTTATTCTTTATTTTTAAGACTTTTACGTTGGAAGGCAAAGAAGAAGTGCACTTGGGTAAACATTAAGGCACTGCAGCCCAGAAAACCCTCCAGTAAGCAGCTTAAACCAATACACAGTGTTTTAGCTGCAAAGCCCTACGGGGGCCAGTACTTCAGGCTGGGAAAATTTGGACAGGAGGCAGCCTGGCCCCCGGCAGCGCTGCGAGGCTCGTGCTGGTGTCTTGTGGGGTGCGGGTCTCCTCCAGAGCTGCTGCCCATTGAACTTGCTGAAGCAGCTCTCCCTGCAAAGGCTGCCTGTGTGTGCCTTCACCCTGCCCTCATGGGCCTCCTGTACCCCCCACGGAGCTGCCAAGGAGCAAAGCTGTTGGCTTTAAAGCTGCTATACGTGTCCCAAAAAATTCCAGACCTTGCCTCCTGCCACCTCTCACCCTGCCAAGCACCAAGACCTGAGATCATCCAGGTTTAACACCTCCTCCCGGTGCCCTAAGCTGCTGAAGTTATTGCAGCGTTTATGGACTTGCTCTGGGAGCCTGTGGCTAGAGCAAAGCGGGTTTTAATTTGTTCCGAGTCCATGTTAAGCTGAAATGGTGTTATATCTGGGGAGGCTGGCTCTGCTCCATGGAGCAAGGTGGTTAATTAATGAAGGATTTAGCTTTCGGTCCAAGTAATAATTTTCACTGGACTCCAGGACAATTGTCTGTATCAAAATGACCGACTAAATTGGGTAGAGGAGGTCTGACGTGAAGAGATAATGACTGAACTACCCGATTAGTATGGAGGAGGTGCAGAAAAGCAATTAAAAAAGGGGATCTGGATATTTTGAGACATGGGATTGGCTAATGAGAAAACAGGAGGAAATATTGAAGAAAAAAAAAAGGGAAGTGCTGACTTAGGACTACAAATCCTTTAAAAAGAAACCAGAGGAATGAATTAAATATCATTTTGAGATTAATAAGAGACCTTTCTTAATAGACTTTATTGGAGCTGACTGCTTGGATAGTCCCTTTCCATTTCAGCAGCACATTTCATTATGTTTCCAGGTTTGTTTCTTAGCCTTAATGTGCTTTTCTAGGCATTTTTTAAGGTTAATATAAATAAATCTCTGGGTTCCAAAGGTGGAATCTAATTGGAGCTTAAGAAAGAGCAAGCAGAAGGGAAGAATGTGGCTGAGTACATAGGAAATTAGAAATAAGAATAAATAGCATCATGGGACTCGGGTAAAGAACAGAGATAACCGCACAGTGTGAGATGAATGCATGAAAAAGTGGAAAATTTTAGCCTGGTAGAAAGAGGAAATGGGACGTGTTGCCGCAGTCATGACAGCAGATGGCAAAATTGAGCTGCAGAGGCAGAGCAGAGAAACAACTGGAGAGATTAGGAGAGACTGTAAAGGTGACGCAGATTTGCTGCCACCAAGCACAAATGCGGTCTCCTCCAGCCACGATGGAGGTCCTGGCCGGGACCCCAGCTCATGCCAGGCTCCAAGGCATGCTTTCAGCATGCTTGGCCTGGGCTCCAGCTTATGTCTTCTAGTGACACAATTTCCTGCAAGTCTCAGTAGTCCCCTGGTTTTCTTGTGCTCCTGAGGCCACGGTGGCCATGCCCTTCTTGGTTTCCTCTTCTCACTGATGTCCAACCCCAGCTGGGAGTAGTGTGCCTTTGGTTTCTATTTATTTAATGTTATTTCTGTTTATTTCTGTTAATTTAAAACACAAAATCCAAGACTCGGCACCTCCTGCAATCACACTGTGGCAGCAGTGACATGGCAAAAGAAACATCAACCTCTAGCCATCCCATAGCTCAACTCAGCATCCACTCCCTCCTGTTCTCAAGCTTGTGAGAATGGGTGTTGGTCTTGGCAAGGGGGTCTCCAAGTGATCATTTTGGGGAATGCTCAGAACTAAGAAAAACACTGAGATTACAGTGAGGCTTCCTACAGAGAACCCTTTGCTAGGAAGGCTCATCTCCTACCCTGTGGTAACCTCAGTTTATGAGCTCCCACTTTTTTTACTTCTGAGATAGGAGGCCATAAGGACACTGGGAAGTTGAATGCAAACTGGAGTTTGCAAAAACTGTTGGAAGAGCTGGGAAGCAGGGTGTTGGGAAATGATGTTTGGTAGAAGTTCATTGACTTTCTTTCATCTTTCAAGCACTGAGCCTTCTCCAGGGGGAAGGGAAATCTACCACTTCCCAAAATGGTGGTTTGTGGGGTTTTTTCTGAGAAGGAGAGAAGCTGCATGTTCTAC